CAACACATAGGCCAACGATGTGGAATAATGCCCAGGGTGGGAGAAAAAAACTCTTATTTGCTTGAGGCAAGTGTGAATGTTGCCATTGGCCACCTTAATTACCATTGAATGACCTTGCAGCTTCAAAGCCCAAAAGCATGAAAGGCATTGCATACTAATTCAACCAAAGAAGTCAGCCATAGCAGAGCACTTGATGAACCAACCTGGACACAGCATATTATTGGAGAAGACAGAAATGCTGGACCACTCTCACAACCACCATGTCAAACTACACAGAGAAGCCATTGAAATCCACAAGAAGCACATGGACAATTTCCACAGAAAGGAAGAAACCATGAAAATAAACAAAATCTGGCTACCAGTATTTTAAAAAACTCTAAAATCAGGAGAGCAAATAAAGAGCAACACTAAAAAAACAAGGGAATTCCTGACACGAAGCAATCAGGGCCAGCTAACACCTCCCAATAAAGGATTCCCAAGCAGGAAGCAGCCAGTCTTTGAAACTGCCAGGGCATTCAATGCAAATCAAGACAGGCACTTGCAACATTCACACTTGCCTCAAGCTGACAAGAGTTCTTTCACCCACCCTGGACATTATTCCACAGATATATAAACTCTACTTGCCTACTTTCCAACAAACCTCACAATCTCCGAGGATGCCTGCCATAGATGTGGGTGAAATGTCAGGATAGAATGCTTCTGGAACATGGCCATACAGCCCAGAAAACTCACAGCAGCACAGTGATTCTAGCCATGAAAGCCTTCGACGGCAAATCAGAAAGTTGTTTCCAACTTCACATTACTACTGCAACAGCATGGGATTTCCTCAGGCAGTAAGAAGCCAGACCTTGAAACTGCTGGGCCATTCAATGCTAATCCAGGTGGCCAATTGAAACATTCACACCTCCCTCAAACAGACAAGAGCCCTTTCTCCCACCTTGGACTGACATTCCACAGAAATATAAATCCCATTTTCCTAGTTTTCAACAGACCTTACAACCTGTGAGGATGCCTGTCATAGATGTGGACAAAACGTCAGGAGAGAATGCTTCTGGAACATGGCTATACAGCTCGGAAAACTCACAGCAACCCAATAGCATGATGCTTTCAAACTTTATACACAGGAGGAACAGCAGCGGGAAAACAAGCAAAGCTGGCAAATTTCAGCAATGGGTTGGATTATTTGGGGACGCTTTTTTCCTTCCATGTTTACCCTGTGTTTTGTTTGGGTCTGGGCTTTGGAAGTCTCCTGGTGGGACATGGGATTGCCAAAATAAATCAGAACCAATCTATTGCCTGTCTCAGCTCATCCCTTATTGCGAAGCCTCTGCCAAAGAGACATTGTTCCATCTGCCATCCTTAGACTTTACTTTCTCTATGCAAAGAGGCCCCTTTTCATTACAGTCTACTGAACAAAGTTGTGTAAAGTTAAGCCATGCCAAGATGGCAGAAGCAAAATGCTTTGGCACCTCTGCATTTAGAAAACAATAAAGAATGGGAGAAAGACACAGCTGACAAAGCCTCCGACAAGAAACTCATGTTTATGCCCAACCATCTGCCCTTTGCTCCTTGTCTTTTGTCTCGTGGGAAGTTTTTAGTACCACCATCAATGGAAGGATGGGGAAAGAGGACTAAAGAGACACAGACTTTCAATGTTGTCTGCAGACAACACTGCAATAAAGCTTGAGCCAGGAAAGATTGAGTTTCACAACTGTGACAGGTAAAGTAAAGGGCCTCCGGAATCCCTTGCTGAGCAACAAAACCAAGAGAAAAGGAGGGCTTCCCTCACTATTTAGCCCCCAACGTGTTAAATGAAAACATCCCCTCTGATCTTTGAAACTGGTTCCCATTTCCATAATGCATACTAAACTGTGTTATATGGTCTGTCTGCCTACCAGCTCTTAGGAATTGTGGGAGTTGAAGTCCAAAACACCCAGACAGCCCAAGTTTACCTGTTGTAGACTCATAATGCACTTTAACTGCACCAAACGGGAGTATACAGCCATATAATGTGTTATAATGGCAGTGTATGTGAGGCCTGAGCAGGATCAGTTCTGCTTAGTACTGCATTTCTCAACCTGGGGGTCGGGACCCCTGGGAGGGTTACTTACTTAACTTACTTAGGCAATCCTTCATTGTCTGAGTAGGATAGTCTTCCATGATCAGTATTCTGGTGGGTCCGTATGTGACTGTGGAGCCCAATTCTTGATTTGCATCATCTCCCGCAATGAGGGCATTGGTTTCCAGGTGGAAGGCAGTCCCAGTCGGGGTTGGCTTGACGCGCCTTTCTCTTGGCACGTTTCTCTCTTTCGCCCTCCATTCATGCCTCTTCAAATTCTGCAGCACTGCTGGTCACAGCTGACCTCTAGCTGGAGCGCTCAAGGGCCAGGGCTTCCCAGTTCTCATTGTCTATGCCAGAGATTTTAAGGTTGGCTTTGAGGCCATCTTTAAATCTCTTTTCCTGCCCACCAACATTCCGTTTTCCATTATTGAGTTCAGGGTAAAGCAACTGTTTTGGGAGACGGTGGTCAGGCATCCGAACAACATGGTCAGTCCAGCAGAGTTGATGGCAGAGGGCACGAGCTTCAATGCTGGTGGTCTTTGCTTCTTCCAGCACGGTGGTTGGGCATCCGAACAACATGGTTAGTCCAGCGGAGTTGATGGCAAAGATCACCAGCTTCAATGCTGGTGGTCTTTGCTTCTTCCAGCACATTGGAAGGGTTGGGTTGTAAGGGGGTGTTGGAAGGGGGGGTTGTAAGGGAGGTATCAGAGGGGTCGCCGAAGACAATAAGAAAACACAGTCTTTTCTGTTGGTCATGGGGTTTCTGTGTGGGAAGTTTGGCCCAATTCTATCATTGGTGGGGTTCAGAGTGCTCTTTGATTGTAGGTGAACTATAAATCCCAGCAACAACTCCCAAATGTCAAGATCTATTTCCCCCAAACTCCACCAGTGTTCACATTTGTGCATATTGAGTATTTGTGCCAAGTTTGATCTAGATCCATCATTGTTTGAGTCCACAGTGCTCTCTGGATGTAGGTGAACTACAACTCCAAAGCCCAAGGTCAATACCCACCAAACCCTTCCAGTATTTTCTGTTGGTCATGGGAATTCTGTGCACCAAGTTTAGTTCAATTCCATTGTTGTAGTTAAGAATGCTCCTTGATTGTAGATTAACTATAAATCCCAGCAACTACAACTCCCATGTGACAAAATCACCCTCCCTCCAACGGCACCAATATTCAAATTTGGATGTATTGGATATTTGTGACAAATTTGGTCCAGTGAATTAAAATACATCCTACATATCAGATATTTACATGACGATTCATAACAGTAGCAAAAGTACAGTATGAAGTAGCACTAAAGTAATATTATGGTTGGGGGTCACCACAACATGAGGAACTGTATTAAGGGTATGCGGCATTAGGAAAGTTGAGAACCATTGGCTTAGTACTTTGAATAGCTGGAGAAATTACACTGTTTAGCTCGTATTGAGCCACCTGACATCCGTTGGGAAGTACCAGCCAATAATGAAAGGACCAAAGCAGTGACATCTCTGGCCCATCCTCTGTTTGGATATCAGCCAGCAGGCCAATGTGTCAAATCAAGAAACAGCTTCCTAAGATCGAGAGAAATACTCGCAGGAACACCTCAGCAAGCGAGAGTCCAAAAGTGGGAGGCTAAATCTCAGAACCTCATTCAGTGGCTGAGACCAGATGAGAAACTGCCTCTTGGGCACACAGAAAATTGGGCAAGCTGGAAAGCACTGAACAGGTTGCGCTCTGCTACCACGAGATACAGAGCTAACCTTAAGACAGTGTTTCTCAACCTTCCCAATGCCGCACCCTTTAATACAGTTCCTCATGTTGTAGCGACCCCCAACCATAACATTATTTTTGTTGCTACTTCATAACTGTAATTTTGCTACTGTTATGAATTGCAATTTATATATCTGATATGTATGATGTGTTTTCATTCACTGGACCAAATTTGACACATATACCTGATATGTCCAAATTTGAATACTAGTGGGGTTGGGAGGGAGATTGATTTTATCATTTGGGAGTTACAGTTGCTGGGATTTATAGTTCACCTACAATCAAAGAGCAGTCTGAGCTCCACCAAGGATGGATTGAGTCAAACTTGGCACACAGAACTCCCATGACCAACAGAAAATACTGAAAGGGTTTAGTGGACATGGACCTTGAGTTTTGGAGTTGTAGTTCACCTACATCCAGAGAGTACTGTGGACTCAAACAATGGTGCATCTGGACCAAACTTGGCACGGATACTCATTATACCCAAATGCGAACACTGGTGGAGTTTGGGGGAAATAGGCCTTGATATTTGAGAGTTGTAGTTGCTGGGATTTATAGTTCACCTACAATCAAAGAGCATTCTGAACCCCACCAAGGACAGAATTGGGCCAAACAGAGGTAGTGAGGTCTGTTGGAATTAGGAAAATGAGTTTATCTATCTATCTATCTATCTCACTACCTCTGAGGATGCTTGCCATAGATGCAGGCGAAACGTCAGGAGAAAATGCCTCTAGAACATGGCCATATAGCCCGAAAAAATCCCACAAGAACCTAGTGATTCCAACCATGAAAGCCTTCGACAATACAGTTGTATTGTATTTTTAAAAAAATGTGATGATAGAAAAGGCGAAAGACCTTGCAAAACTACAACTCCCTTAGCATCCCTTAGCCTTGAGCCATGGCAGTTTAAGAGTGGAGTCCAACTGCATTCTGAGTGCTTCTCTGCTCCTGAGTGCTGTGGTTCAACCAAACTACAAACCCCACGACCCCCTAGCAGTTCAAAGTGGTGCCAAAGCGCATTAATTCTACTGTGTGGATTGCACCCAGAGGCAAACCCACCCTCTTTCTTTCTATAATTCCCAACCAAGGGAATTCATCCACACCAAACCCCAGGATTCCAGAGAAGGCTGTTAAAGCGGGGCTATAGCGCGACAACCGTGCGGTGCGGACGGGTCTCTTACGCATGAGGGTGCTGAAGGCGACCACAGCCAGCAGTGCTTGGATCAGGACCCCGAAAAGGTCGAGCAGCTCCCCGTCGTAGCATCCTTTGGGCCGGTGCCGGGCTTCGGAAGGGCTGGAGTTGCCTGGAAAGGCTTCCATTGAGACAGACTTAACCAGGGAGAAGCCGACAATTGCGCCTCTTCAGCTGGGGAAGGGCCTTCTAGTGACTCCCCTTGGGGGCGTGGCTAGCCTCGGAGGAGGGCGTGGCTTCAAGTTCCCAGCAATTCAAGGCCTTAGAAGACTCCTCCCCCTTTAGGGCGTGGCCAAGTATATGGGCGTGGCCTCCCGCCTCACCTGGCCCCGCCCCAAGCTGATTGGGGACGAGATTTAGAATCCTGCATCTATTAATTAATGGATGGAGAAGGAAAAAAAACCTTGTAAAACTACAACTCTCAAAAGCAAACTTTTCAAAAAGAGAGAAGGCAAAAGACCTTGTAAAGCTACAACTCCCAAAAACAATTTTAAAAATGGAGAAGGCAAAAGACCTGTAAAACTACAACTCCCAAAAGCAAACTTTTTTTAAAAAAATAGAGAAGGCAAAAGACCTTGTAAAACTACAACTCCCAAAAGCAAACTTTTTAAAAAAAAATAGAGAAGGCAAAAGACCTTATAAAACTACAACTCCCAAAAGCAGATTTTTTTAAAAGCAGAGAAGGCAAAAGACCTTGTAAAACTACAATTCCCAAAAGCAAACTTTTTTAAAAAAATAGAAAAGGCAAAAGACCTTGTAAAACTACAACGCCCAAAAGCAAACTTTAAAAAAAAATAGAGAAGGCAAAAGACCTTGTAAAACTACAACTCCCAAAAGAAAACTTTTGTAAAATAGAGAAGGCAAAAGACCTTGTAAAACTACAACTCCCAAAAGGAAACTTTTGTAAAATAGAGAAGGCAAAAAAAGTTGTAAAACTACAACTCCCAAAAGGAAACTTTTGTAAAATAGAGAAGGCAAAAGACCTTGTAAAACTACAACTCCCAAAAGGAAACTTTTGTAAAATAGAGAAGGCAAAAAAAGTTGTAAAACTACAACTCCCAAAAGGAAACTTTTGTAAAATAGAGAAGGCAAAAGACCTTGTAAAACTACAACTCCCAAAAGGAAACTTTTGTAAAATAGAGAAGGCAAAAAAAGTTGTAAAACTACAACTCCCAAAAGGAAACTTTTGTAAAATAGAGAAGGCAAAAGACCTTGTAAAACTACAACTCCCAAAAGTAATTTTTTAAAATTGTGATAGCCTTTTAAAATGGCAGAGTTTTTCCAACTGCTCCTCCAGATGTTTTGGACTTCAGCTCCCACAATTCCTAACAGCTGTTAAACTGGCTGGGATTTCTGGGAGCAGAAGCCCCAAACACCTGGAGGAGCACAGCTTGAGAAACAGTATAACATGGCATTGTATATTATGCAACTTGAGAATTTATTTTTTTTATTTTCTATACTTATACCCCAACCTTCTCACACCCCCCCCCCCCCGGGGGGGGGGGCAGCATCTCAACAAGCACCATAAGATGCATTACCACCATAAAACAATCATAGAACCATAGAGTTGGAAGAGACCTCGTGGGCCATCAGGTCCAACCCCCTGCCAAGAAGCAGGAATATTGCATTCAAATCATCCCTGACAGATGGCCATCCAGCCTCTGTTTAAAAGCTTCCAAAGAAGGAGCCTCCACCACACTCCGGGGCAGAGAGTTCCACTGCTGAACGGCTCTCACAGTCAGGAAGTTCTTCCTCATGTTCAGATGGAATCTCCTCTCTTGTAGTTTGAAGCCATTGTTCCACGTCCTAGTCTCCAAGGAAGCAGAAAACAATCTTGCTCCCTCCTCCCTGTGGCTTCCTCTCACATATTTATACATGGCTATCATATCTCCTCTCAGCCTTCTCTTCTTCAGGCTAAACATGCCCAGCTCCTTAAGCCGCTCCTCATAGGGCTTGTTCTCCAGACCCTTGATCATTTTAGCCGCCTTCCTCTGGACACATTCCAGTCCAGCTTGTCAATATCAAAAATAATCAAAAAGACATCAAGTAAATACATTAAAAACATTAAAACAATAAATTAAAAACAATTGATTAAACACGAAAAATCCAAATTTGGGCTAATTTGATTTCCTGGGTTGCCTAGGTCGTCTTTCCATTTGCTGCTATTCACTAGTTGAATGCCTGGTCCCATAGCCAAGTCTTAATTTTCTTTCTGAAAGACAGAAGGGAGGTGGCCAGTCTAATGTGTCTGGGGAGAAAGTTCCACAGACAGGAGGCCACTGCTGAGAAGACCCTGTCCCTCGTTCCCACCAATCACGTTTGCGATGGTGGTGAGACCGAGATCAGGACTTCTCCAAATGATCTTAAACTTTGAGATGGTTCATAACAGGAGATATGTTCAGACACAGATTTGGGCATCCATGGGGCACTTGGGCTGAAACCAAACTGTAGCATATATTGAAAGACCACCACACACTGGGAAGTTTGACTTTTGCAGACTGGATTATGTGAGCATTTGATCCAAAGGTTATCTCTGGGAATCTCTCTAAACCTTCTTAATGCCGCAACCCCTTAATACAGTTGTGGTGACCCCCAACCATAAAATTGTTTTTGTTGCTTCTTCAGAACTGTAAGTACGCTACTGTTCTGAATTGTCAAGTAAATATCTGATATGCAGGAAGTATTTTCATTGACTGGACCAAATTGGATATGAATATCTGTTAAATGGCCATGTTCTAGAGGCATTATCTCCTGACGTTTCGCCTGCATCTATGGCAAGCATCCTCAGAGGTAGTGAGGTCTGTTGGAACTAGGAAAATGGGTTTATATATCTGTGGAATGAACAGGGTGGGACAAAGAACTCTTGTCTGCTGGAGCTAGGTGTGAATGTTTCAACTGACCACCTTGATTAGCATTTGATGGCCTGGCAGTTGTTTGGTGTGGCTTGTTGGTGCCAGAGGTGATTAGATGTCCCTGATTGTTTCCCTTCTGTTTTCTAGATGTCCTAGTCATCCATAAACCAGATCATAGATGCCATAGATGCAGGTGAAACGTAAGGAAAGAATGACTCTAGAACATGGCCATATAGCCCAAAAAAACTTACAACAACCCAGTGATTCCGGCCATGAAAGCCTTCGACAATACAATATCTGTTAAGTCCAAATTTGAATACTGGTGGGGTTGGAGTGGGGATTGGTTTTGTCATTTGGGAGTTGTAGTTGCTGGGATTTATAGTTCCCCTACAATCAAAGAGCATTCTGAACTCCACTAAGGATGGAATTGAACCAAACTTGGCACACAGAACTCCCATGACCAACAGAAAATACAGGAAGGGTTTGAGGGTATTGACGTTGAGTTTTGGAGTTGTAGTTCACTTACATCCAGAGAGCACTGTGGACTCAAACAATGATGGATCTGAACCAAACTTGGCACAGATACTCAATATGCCCAAATGTGAACACTGGTGGAGTTTGGGGAAAATAGACTTTGACATTTGGGAGTTGTGGGTGCTGGGATTTATAGTTCACCTACAATCAAAGTGCATTCTGAACTCCACCAAGGATGGAATTGAACCAAATTCGGCACACAGAACTTCCATGACTGACAGAAAATACAGGAAGGGTTTGAGGGTATTGACATTGAGTTTTGGAGTTATAGTTCACTTACATCCAGAGAGCTATGGACTCAAACAATGATGGATCTGGACCAAACTTGGCACGAATACTCAATATGCCCAAATGTGAACACTGGTGGAGTTTGGGGAAAATAGACTTTGACATTTGGGAGTTGTAGTTGCTGGGATTTATAGTTCACCTACAATCAAAGAGCATTCTGAACCCCACCAATGATAGAATTGGGTCAAACTTCCCACACAGAACCTCCCTGAGCAACAGGAAATACTGAGTTTCCTGATTGTCTTTGCTGACCCCCTTTAACACCCCTCCAGGGGTCCCAATCCCCAAGCTGAGAAACGCTGTGGTAGTAGGAAGTGATCAATAGTGGAATAGGCTGCCTCCATGAGTGATGGAGTCTCCTTCTCTGGGAGGTTTTAAGCAGAGGCTGGATGGCCATCTGTTGGGAGTGCTTTGACTAACAGAAAATACTGTGTTTTCTGATGGTCTTTGCCGACTCCTCTGACACCCTCCCCCCAGGTGTCCCGACCCTTAGTTTGAGAAATGCTGACCTAAAGGAATATCTGGAATATCTCTAAGCCCTTCAGTTTGACTCCATTGTCAACATCTGCCCTAGGTTGACCAAGAAGTCACATTGGGAGACCCAGAGAGATCCTGAAGAGATGAGCTCTCAAGACAGGTAAAATAAAATGAGTGAAAAGTGGGTCTTAGCTTGCTTAGAAACCAGCAGAGTGGTTCATATGCCAGATTGTTGATGCAAGCTAATAATAGGAAGTCCTCTTCCCACCCTCCTGCACAATGAATACAGTTTAGCACCCCAATCAATGCTACGGGATAAAGAGAGTTGTAGTCTGTAGAGGCGGGCAATGGCATGTCTAATTGGCAAGGTGGCATCCTGAAGAGGAGCTTCCCATATTACAACCTCCTGTTGACAATTTCTCTGCTTTAAAATTGTACTTTTGTGCCCAGCAGGTGGGGCTGCGAAGCCAACATATGGAAGAGAGCCTCAGCTTTGTCACCATCACAGCTCAAGCCTGTGCAAGAATGCACTCAAGGGAAGTCCAGAAGCATATGAGGTTTAGGACTCATCATCTCTATTTTTGGACAGCAACTCCCAGAATTCCCCAGCCAGCTGCTGGGAAATTCTGTGAGTTATAGTCCAAAAGAAGCAACTGTTCTCAAGCTCTGAAATCGCATTGGTGCGCTCCAGTTCTTCCATGAATTAACATTTGGCAGGAAGCACTGCTGAAAGTGCTCTGAAATCGCATTGGCAAACTTGGACCTTCCAGATATTTTGGACTTCACAATTCCTAACAGCTAGCAGGCTGTTAGGAATTGTGGTAGTTGGAGTCCAAAACACCTGGAGGGTCAAACTTTGCCCATACCTGGTATAGATCCAACTGCTCTTAAAAGATACTGAGAAGCAAACAAGTCTACTTTTGCGTATTTGTGTATTAGGGAGAGAAAGATGGGGAAAGGTTACACACCAGTGACTGGGAGGTGTTATAGAAAATGTTTATTTTGGCAGTACAGTCTGTTTTAATCCAATATGCCAGTGAAAAAGCATAAAAGGTATCATGGCATTCCTCTCTCAGATGGTTAAAAGACCTTGAATTAAACCCAGGACATTTGCAGTTTTGACTTTTGCAAGTTTGGTTTTGACTTTTGCAAGTTTGGTTTTAAAAGTTTCTTTCTAACAAAGCTCGAGTTCTCCAGTTGACTTTATGGGCAACTGCCTTAGTCACGTTAGAGGGCCTATAGATTCCTTTCTAGGAATCTCTAGGTCCTCTAAAGCAATTCTATGGCTGGCTTCCAGCAGAAGTTGTGTGGAGACCAAAATCCACTGATAGTGGTGATATGAAAATAACTAAATTAACTCAATGTATATATTACAAATATACATATCAAAAACTGCCACATACATATAAGTAGAAACAATAGGTTCTTCTCTTGAAGTATAAAGCAAAGTCTTCGTTTGAGAAAATGTCCTTTCTTTATTACATGTGAGTAGACTCCAGTAGTCACATGAAATGACTCCAACCTGCTACCGGTTTCGACTCACAAGAGTCTTCGTCAGGCGGTTGGGTTTAAATTATCAAAAAAAAGGCTCAACTTTTAAGGTGAGAATTCACCAACAGTCTTCTGGTGGGGTGGATCAACTATTCTTTGTTGAGCAGTGCACTCTGCAAGAGGTTTTATTCTGTAGCGAGTGTAGGAATTTGGCCATAAAGTCATGTTGGAAGACCTACACTCTGGTCAGCTGCCCTGAGTCCCTTTGGGGAGAGGGGGCAGGATATAAATAAAGCTTATTATTATTTGATACACAACAAGATTAGTACACGGCAAACAAGATAACTGTGCTGGCTGTTGTATTTGATCACACGTCGGACACTTCCCAAAAGTCTATGGCTACGGGGTTTGTTGAAATGTACATCCGGTTGAAAATTGCTAGCTAGATCCTTAGTAATCTTGTAGCCTCCTGTGCAGTCCTGACGGATTGTCTCTGTGTTTTGTTCAGTGCCGATTTGTGTTTAAGTGCAGGCCATTGTTTCTTTAATGCACTGCCCCGGAGTGTGGTGCAACCTGCATCCTCATATCTGGGACACTTGGGACCCTTTGCTAGAGTTCGTATTTCTCTTCTACAAGCCGTTTTTGGATTTCCTTTGGGAAGGAAAAGCCATTTCTAAATCTAATCAGGCATGCCTACCCATTTTAATTACTAGAATAATTAAATTCCGCAGAGCAGGTTTTATAACCCACTCTCCCTGAAAAGAGCTAGGGATGGTTGGCATGCCGTGTGATGGGTGTCTCCCATCCACAAAACGTGCAAGGCCCAACTTGTTCACCTGAGTAAAATTGCATCTGATATCTTAAACCCATTCTTGGGAATTTTTTAAAGGCATGTTTTAATTTGTGGGACAGCTAAAAATAGGGAATTGCTTTATATTTGTTCAGACTATTTGCCCACCTAGAGCAGTATTGTTTGACAGCTTTTCCTGGCTCTTGGGCACCTGTCACCTTCTACAAACAAGATCACTCTGCTGGCTGTTGTATCGGACCACATGCAGATGGTAATCTTGTCAGCGCCAATTGTGTTAAGTGCAGGCCAAGGTCTTTAGGCGCTGCACCCATTGTGCCATTGCCATGAGGACCGCCTTGACTGGCTTGTGCCAGAGTCTTTGCAGTTCGATCTTTAAATCCTATTATTATTATCATTATTATTGTTATTATTAGAAACAACACAAGATGAGTCCATCAGACACTCTGCTGGCTATTGTATTGGATCACACGTTGGACACTTCCCAAGTGTCTAGGACCGTGTGATGTATCAGCGAATAATGCGTGCATATCCAAGTAGGGTGGCCTTTTGCATCTGCCAGATGGTCATTTTGTAATGTAATGTAATGTAATGTAAGTAGTCTGCTCTGCATAGTGTTTTTACAGTATCTGCTTGTTGTCTTTTGCACTTTAAGTAGTTTTTTTTTACTATTGACTTCCATCAATGTTGGTTCTTGACTGCCTTTCACATAATCTGCCAGTGCATGTTTCTCTTCTTCTACCATTTGTTTCACTTGCAGAAGTCCTCTGCCTCCTGATTTTCTGGGCAGGTAAAGTCTGTTGACATCACTACGTGGGTGTAATGAGTAGCGGATTGCCATCAGTTTTTTTGTTTTTCTTTTATTTATTTCATATCAAAAGCATCGCATAAATTAGTATAGAAGAAGCATAAGTGGCTAAATATATTTTGACCAAAAACAGGCAAAAGAAACAGCATTGTCTGTAGCCTCCAACAATTCTTCCTCTGTACGTGGAGCAGGGCATAGTGGACAAGCATACATAGGTCTGCCCATGCAAAGCAGGTGAACATAGCATTGAATTAGATATGCAGAATAATCACAGGATGTCTTAAACCTACACCTGTCAATAAACTCAACAAGCTAGCTGGCATTTCCCCCCCCCCCCCAATGTGCTACAGGAAGTTGCTGCTAAATGTGAGAGAAGTAAGGTTGAACACTGGGAAAGGCAACCACTACATGGCTACCAGCCTCCTCCCAGTAGACTCAAATCAAGGAATTGTTGACAGAGGAGGAATTGTTGGAGGCTACAGACAATGCCATTGCTGTTGCCATTTTTGGTGAAAAGGTATTTAGCCACCTGCACTCCTTCTATTTTAATTGGTTTTACTAGCTGTGCCCTGCCACGTGTTGCTGTGGCTCAGTCTGGTGATCTAGAAAATAAAGTAATGAGAAAGTGTTGGTTTCTAATATATGTAATTTCTTTATCGCTTGTGGGTAAACACTATTTCTTGTCGTTTCTTTGTCAGTGTTGATGTAGACATTGTCTGGTTTACCTACTCTGGAACATGGAACATAGAGTTGTCCTTCTTTAGGGACCCCTTTCAAATCTATCATATACGTGTGTGTGTGTGTGTGTGTGAACCATATATATCTATCTATATCTATGGCTGGATGGCTCTGTCAGGAGGACTTTGATTATGTTTTCTTGACTTGGTGAAGGTAGTCTGACTGGATGGTTTTAAGGCAGCATTTTTTAATCTGGGGGTCAGGCCCCCAGGGAGGGTGTCGTGAGGGGTGTCAGAAGGGTCATGAAAGACCACCAGAAAACATAGTATTTTCTGTTGGTCATGGGGGTTCTGTGTGGGAAGTTTGGCCCAATTCTATTGTTCGTGGGGTTTGATTGTAGGTGAACTATAAATCCCAGTAACTACAACTCCCAAATGTCAAGGTCTATTTCCCCCCAAACTCCATCAGTGTTCATATTTGGACATATTGAGTATTCGTGCCAAGTTTGGTCCAGATCCATCATTGTTTGAGTCCACAGTGCTCTCTGGATGTAGGTGAACCCCAACTCCCAAACTCAAGGTCAATGCCCACCAAACCTTTCCAGTGTTTTCTGTTGGTCATGGGAGTTCTGTGCGACTCAATTCCATCATTGGTGGAGTTCAGAATGTTCTTTGATTGTAGGTGAACTATAAGTCCCAGCAACTACAACTCCCAAATGAAAAAAATCAATTTTTTTGAGTGTCTTGTGTCCGAATTTCATGTCAATTCATCCAGTAGTTTTTGAGTTATGTTAATGCCACAAACACACATTACATTGTATTGTTGAAGGCTTTCATGGCCCGGAATCACTGGGCTGTTGTAGGTTTTTTCGGGCTATATGGCCATGGTCTAGAGGCATTCTTTCCTGACGTTTCGCCTGAGGATGCTTGCCATAGATGCAGGCGAAACGTCAGGAGAGAATGCCTCTAGACCATGGCCATATAGTCCGAAAAAAACCTACAACAACCCAGCACATTACATTTTTATTTATATAGATACTAATTTATGCAATGCTTTTGATATGAAATAATATTTATTTATTTATTTATTTACTTACTTACTTACTTACTTTATTTCTATACCGCTTTCCTCAGCCCTCAGGCGACTCAAAGCAGTGAACAACATCAGTACAAAATATCACAAAACAAGTATAGGGCAATTAAAAACAATTATCACATAAATCATTAATCATTAGCGCCTCAACAGTAAAATCAGAATCCAGTCTCGTCATCCATTATTCCGTATTCCTGTGTTCAATTACACTGTTTAATCAAATGCTTGTTCGAACAGCCAGGTCTTCACTTTCCTCCGAAACACCAGCAGGGAGGGGGCCAATCTGATATCTGCAGGCAGGGCGTTCCACAGCCGAGGGGCCACCACTGAGAAGGCCCTGTCTCTCGTCCCCGCCAAGCGCGCCTGTGATGCAGGCGGGACAGAGAGCAGGGCCTCCCCAGATGATCTTAGTGTCCTAGCCGGTTCATAGGAGGAGATGCGTTCGGAGAGGTAAGTAGGGCCAGAACCGTTTAGGGCTTTATAGGCTAAAGCCAGCACTTTGAATTGTGCCCGGTAGCAAACTGGCAGCCAGTGGAGCTGGCGCAACAGAGGAGTTGTATGCTCCCTGAGTGCCGCTCCTGTTAGCAACCTGGCTGCCGAGCGTTGGACCATTTGAAGCTTCCGAGCAGTCTTCAAAGGCAACCCCATGTAGAGAGCGTTGCAGTAATCTATGCGGGATGTAACCAGAGCGTGGACTACCATGGCCAAGTCAGACTTCCCAAGGTAATTTCATGAACAGTCTTATATAAGTCTTCACTAACCATATGATCAGGTCAACAACATTAATCAGCGGTATATGAGTCCACACTGGCTATATAATACACTTTCAAACTGCATGATATGCCACAAGTGTGGATCCATCCTCTCAGATATCCCGACCAGGGTTGGAAGAAGTTGTTTTGGGTTGTTGCGGGTTTTTCGGGCTATATGGCCACGTTCTAGTAGCATTCTCTCCTGACGTTTCGCCTGCATCTAGGGCAGGCATCCTCAGAGGTTGTGAGGTCCACGGAAGTTGTTGTTTTTCCTTCATTGCCAAGGCTGGAGAGAGTTTTGCGGGGAGGGGAATCCTAGGAAAAGGAGTTGAGCGCGCCTTTACACACACACATGCACACACACACACACAGAGAGAGCCCAGTGGCCAAAAAACAAGTCAACCCGACTGCGAAGCATGCGCAGTGCGCGGATGCCATATTGGAAGGAGAGGGGAGCCGTAGTCGCGGAGGAAGAGGAGGGAGAAAGGATCGGGAGCCACTCTGGATCGGAACCCGAGTGACGCCGGAGGGGCTCCTTGGGGGCTCCCGCGGATGGGGAGGGAGAGGAGCGGGGACAAGGGAGCGGGGAAGCAACTTCCTGCAGGTAAGGCTTCGCTGCGAATCCGGCTTCGGAGCGGGTTTGTTCCGGATCGCCCCCAAGGATGGACCTGCTTGGGGTTTGGGTTTTTTTCCTCTCTCCTTGCGTGGGGAGGAAAAACATGGCTTGGATGCAAGTGGGATCAAATTGTGGTCTTTCCACGGGGTTGATTGGGCATGGGCAAAGTTCGGCCCTCCAGGTGTTTTGGACTCCAACTCCCACCATCCCTAACAGCCTCAGGCCCCTTCCTTTCCCCCCTCAGCCGCTTAAGCGAGGCTCTTAGGGATGGTGGGAGTTGAAGTCCAAAGGACCTGAGGGAGGGCCGAACTTTGCCCATACCTAGTATAGATTCACCTCTAGCGCTCTCTCCCTTCGGTCCTATGCATCCAGCCTCGTTTCCGGGACCGTTACCTGCAGCTGAGATCTATTTCTGCATAGCATCGACTCTTTGCAATGCAATGAACGTGTGAACGCCTTGCCCGGCATCCGAGTTCTTCCGCGCCTGTTCTCCAGCGTGGCAAGGACCTGGGGAAGAGCCAGGTGAATAGGCGACCATCCTGTTGCTTTTGCAAAAACAGAACGCCTTTCCATTTCAGCGTCCGTGCGACACTATTGGAATCATATCTCTTTTGAGGGAAGGGTTTTCAGTCCCCGTTCCCCCCCCCCCCCCCGGAGGCTGAGAAGGGCGGGGTACATCTGAAATAAGAAGGGCTTAGTCGGATCCCCGCTATATTATATAGTAGTTTGGAGGAAAACACCAAAGCCACCCAACTAAAAAAACAACAAAGTCAGCAGACCTGATGGGATCCCCGTTGAAATCTTTCAAGATATCTAGTATTCCTGCTATATTATATAAATATTATAGAATCATAAAATCATACAGTTGGAAGAGACCACTTACATTATATTATATTACATATTATATATCATACAGATGGAAGAGACCACTGATATTATAGGTTAAATTATATCATGTCATATCATGCAGATGAAAGAGACCACTTATATTACATTATATTATATCATACAGTTGGAAGAGACCACTTATTTTATATTACATTACATTATATCATAGTATAGCATATCATATAGATGGAAGAGACCACTTATATTACATTACATTATATCATACAGTTGGAAAAGACCACTTATATTATATTATATTACATATATCCTACAGATGGAAGAGACCACTTATATTATATTACATTAAATTAAATTATATATCATATCATGCAGATGAAAGAGACCATTTCTATTACATTACATTATATTATAGCATACAGTTGGAAGAGACCACTTACCATTACATTACATTATATCATCTCATATTGTATATAGTTGGAAGAGACCACTTATATTACATTGCATTACATTACATTATATCATATCATACAGTTGGAAGAGACCAACTTACATTACATTACATTACATTACATTATATTATATTATATTATATTATAGAGACTTACATTACATTGCATTATATTATATTATATCATCTCATATCGTATCATATAGTTGGAAGAGACCACTTACATTACATTACATTATATCATCTCATGTTGTATCATATAGTTGGAAGAGACCACTTATATTACATTGCATTACATTATATCATATCATACAGTAGGAAGAGACCACTTATATTACATTACAATATATTACATTACATTATATTATATCATATCATATCATGTCATATAGTTGGAAGAGACCACTTATTACATTGTTGTTCATTCGTTCAGTCGTCTCCAACTCTTCGTGACCTCATGGACCAGCCCACGCCAGAGCTCCCTGTCGGCCGTCACCACCCCCAGCTTATATTACATTACATTATATCATCTTATATCCTATCATATCATACAGTTGGAAGAGATCACTTACATTACATCACATCACATCATATCATATCTACTGGTCAAAGGGCATTTAATAGAATGCCAAGTTTGCAAACTTTGTGTGATTTTTAAAAAAATACAATACAACTGTTTGGTTCACTCCTGATATGATAGATAAATAAATAAATACAGATGGAAGATACCACTTATATTACATTACATCATATCATATCTTATCATACAGTTGGAAGATACCACTTATACTACATTACATTACATCATGTCATATCTTATCATACCGTTGGAAGAGACTATTTACATTACATTATATTACATTACATTATATCATATCTTATCACACAGTCGGAAGACACCACTTATATTACATTACATTACATTACATTACATTATATTACATTACATTATATCATATCTTATCACACAGTTGGAAGACACCACTTACATTACATTACATTACATTATATCATAACTAAAAAAAAAATAACAAAGTCAGCGGACGTGATGGGATCCCTGCTGAAATCTTTAAAGATCTCTACTATTGCCGCTATATTATATAAATATTAAAGAATCACAGAATCATACAGCTGGAAGAAACCACTTACATTATATTATATTATATTATATCATATCATACAGTTGAAAGCTACCACTTATATTATATTACATTAACTGTATTATATTATATTATATTAACTGTGTTATATCATTTGGGAGACAGCATGGTGGAAGCTTGGGGCTACAAATCCCCTCTCCAGCCATGGAAAACTTCCTTGGGCATGTCACACACTCTCAGCCTCAGAAGAAGGCAATGGCAAACCTCCTCTGAACAAATATTGCCAGGAATTACCCCATGATACACCCACTTTAGGGTTCGCCTTTCTCCAAGGACTGAAAGGCACACAGGAACAACATTACATGACTTGGAAGATTTCCCCCAAAGCCTCAAGTTTTGGAAGCTTTGGAAGCCAATTTGGGAGAAAGGTAGCATTCAGAGTGCAATCAAGAGGTAGAAGGAAAAAAGAGAGAAAGAAAGATAGAAAGAAAGAAAGAAGAATTAGAAAGAAAAATTAGAAAGAAAGATAGGTAGATAGATAGATAGATAGATAGATAGATAGATAGATAGATAGAAAAATAGTAAGAAAGGAAGAAAAATAGAAAAATAGAAAGAAAGATAGGTAGATATATAGAAAGATAGAGAGAGATAGAAAGATAGATAGATAGATAGAAAGAGAGAAAGAAAGAAAGAAAGATAGATAGATAGAAAGATAGATAGATAGAAAAATAGAAAGATAGAAAGATAGATAGAAAGATAGCTAGCTAGCTAGCTAGCTAGATAAATAAATAGATAGAGAGATAGATAGATAGATAGAAAGATAGAAAAATAGATAGATAGATAAAAAATAGAAAGAAAGATAGATAGATAAAATAGATAGATAGATAGATAGATAGATAGATAGATAGATAGATAGAAAAATAGAAAGAAAGATAGGGAGATAGATAAATAGATACAGTATATTCTGGCGTATAAGACTACTTTTTAACCCAAGAAAATCTTCTCAAAAGTCAGGGGTCGTCTTATATGCAGGTGTAGTCTTATGCATGGGAGTCGTCTTAACTCTATATTTTAACTGGAAAAGTTGGGGGTCGTCTTATACGCCCAGTCGTCTTATATGCCGGAATATACGGTAGATATTTGCCAATGAATTGATACTGAGCTTAGACCTAGTCTAATAAGAACTATAGATAAAAACATTCAGGCTGCAAAATATGGCTGGTTTGATGCTGCTGAAAGAAAGCTGCCAAAAAGAAAAAAAAAAAAAAAGAAGAAGAAAGAAAGAAAGAAAGAAAGAAAGAAAGAGGAAAAGAGGAAATAGAAAAATAGAAAGATATAGATAGAAAGATAGATAGAAATAGAGCTAGGAACAGACAGAAAGAAAGAAGAAAGAAAGAAAGATAGGTAGGTAGATAGAAAAATAGAAAAAAAGATAGGTAGGTAGATAGATAGATAAAAAGAAAGATAGATAAAAAGAAAGATAGATAGATAGATAGATATACAAATAGTTAGTTAGATAAATAGTCAGACAGACAGATAGAAAGACAGCATGAACGAATCACCCTCTCCCCTAGACCCTTGTCATTGCTTTAGCATTGAGCCATGGCATTTAAAGTCGGGCAAACTACATCCACTCTTCAGTGTAGATTCGCCCCTGGGTGTGAAAGCAAGCTGGTTCACATTCTCTTTCTTTCTCTCTCTCTCGACAGAGAGAGCAAAGTACGCACTGAAGGGGGGAGGTCTTTGCTTAGTGGACTTTGCCTCCCTTTCGTCGGGTTTGTTTGCGAAGGCTAGTGCTTTAATCCGAATTCTGTGAAGCCTGCCGAGGGCGACAGAGAGAAAAAATGCGTATTTTCACGGTGACACGCGTCTTTGAGGCTTTGGAGACAGAGGGTGCATCTCCACCCAAGAAATAATGCAGTGTGACGCCACTTTAACCACCCGTGGACTCAATGCTATGGAATCATGGGAGTTGTCGTTCTACAAGATCCTTACTTCTCTGACCCACCAAAGAACCACTTTCAGGTTTCTATAGCTTTCAGCAGGAGCAGTGGTGCCAAAGTGGATTAATTCTACAGTGTAGACGTTCCCTTCCTGCCCAGTATCCTTCAACCAATTCCTTTAAAATCAGAAGCTCCAGCCTCCTCCGGTAATTAGGTTCCTTTTGGACTACATGTCCCAGAATTCTTCATGTAGAACTAGAAATCCCAGATTCTTCCAAAATTCAAGTCCTTTGGACCAGACTTCCTGTAACCTTTCAGCAACTGTTTCCCCTTGGAACTACAAGTCCCAGGCTCCTCCAGGATCTTGATTCCTTTTGGACTACATGTCCCAGAATCCTTCATGTTGGACTAGAAATCCCAGATTCTTCCAAAATTCAAATCCTTTTGGACCAGACTTCCTGTAACCCTTCAGCAACTGTTTTCTCTTGGAACTACAAGTCCCAGGCTCCTCCAGGATCTTGATTCCTTTTGGACTACATGTCCCAGAATCCTTCATGTTGGACTAGAAATCTCAGATTCTTCCAAAATTCAAATCCTTTTGGACCAGACTTCCTGTAATCCTTTGGCAACTGTTTTCCCTTGGAACCACAAGTCCCAGGCTCCTCCAGGATCTCGGTTCCTTTTGGACTACATGTCTCAAAGTCCTTCATGTTGGACTAGAAATCCCAGATTCTTGAAAAATTCCTTTTGGACCAGACTTCCTGTAACCCTTCAGCAACGGTTTTCCCTTGGAACTGCAAGTCCCAAGCTTCTCCAGGATCTCGGTTCCTTTTGGACTACATGTCTCAAAGTCCTTCATGTTGGACTAGAAATCCCAGATACTTCCAAAATCCAAGTTCCTTTTGGGCCAGACTTCCTGTAATCCTTCAGCAACTGTTTTCTCTTGGAACTACAAGTCCCAGGCTCGTCTGGGATCGCAGTTCCTTTTGGACTACATGTCCCAGAATCTTTCAGCACCCTGGTTCATGTTGGACTAAAACTCCCAGACTCTTCCAGGGTCCAAGTTCGTTTGGGACCAGATTTCCTTTAATCCTTCAGCAACTTATTTTCCTTGGAACTAGAAGTCCCAGGCTCCTTCAGGATCTCAGTTCCTTTTGGACTACATGTCCCAGAATCCTCCTTTTAAACTAGAAGTCCCAGACTCCTCCAGGATCTAGGTTCCTTTTCAAGAATCCTTCAACCACATTCCTTTCAAACTAGATGCCCTAGCCTCCTCCAGCTTCTGGGTCCCTGATGGACTACACGTCCCAGCAGCCTTTCTTCTATCCCTTTTTAGTTATTCATTCTTTTACTATCCATTTCTCCAGATTGCAGCCTTTTCCAAACTGCACCACTACAGCTGTGTGTAAAATATAGAATGGTGGGGTCTTGTTTTCTGAAAGGCAATTGCACATCTTGGAGGAGAGCTGTCAGTTGCTTCGAGAAATCTGAAATCAACTAATTATAATATACACATTTCATTCCATTAATTGGATGCATGCACTCCCATAAATGAATCTCATGGGATGGGAGAAAGGCAGAATGTACATTTCCGAGTCTGGGATTAGGGGTGCATTTACATAGCAGAATTAATGTAGTGTGGCTTTACCTACCAGTTAAAGGAGCTTTCCAAGGTGCTGAACCAACTTAAGACCAAGCCCCACCATTTGGACAGCTCCCTTAAAGGTCTTGTTTACCGTAGAAATGAAGAATTTGACATGATTTTGTTCATAGAGAGTCGAAACTGTTTCACACCTGATGATGTGTACATATGTGCCTTTCCGTTGCCTTTTGACTTATGGCAACCCAATGGATTTCATAGGGATTCCTTCGGCAAGGAAGCCTCAGACTGTGGTGAGTTTGCCAGTTCCTTCCCATGAAATCTAGCCTACAGCACCTGGCATTTTCTTGGTTGTATCCCATCCAAGTGTGAATCACAATTACTTCCAAACTGCTTAGCTTCCAAACTGAGATAAGATCTGATGTCTTAATCTGGGGGTCGCGAGGGGGTGTCAGAGGGGTCGCCAAAGGTCATCAGAAAACACAGTATTTTCTGTTGGTCATGTGGGTTCTGTGTGGGAAGTTTGGCCCAATTCTATCATTGGTGGGATTCAAAATGCTCTTTGATTGTAGGCGAACTATAAATCCCAGCAACTACAACTCCCAAATGTCAAGGGCTATTTTCCTCCAAACTCCACCAGCATTCACATTTGGGCATATTGAGTATTTGTGCCAAGTTTGGTCCAGATCCATCATTGTTTGAGTCCACAGTGCTCTATGGATGTAGCTAAACTACAACTCCAAAACTCAAGCTCAGTGCTCACCAAACTCTTCAAGTATTTTCTGTTGCACATGGGAGTGCTATGTGTCATGGGAGAACTGTGTGCCAAGTTTGGTTAGGTGTCTTTGATTGTAGGTGAACTATAAATCCCAGCAACTACAACTCCCAAATGACAAAATCAATCCCCCCAAAACCCCACCAGTATTCAAATTGGATATTTGTGTCTGTGCCAAATTTGGTCCAGTGAATGAAAATACATCCTGCATATCAGATATTTACATTACAATTCAAACAGTAGCAAAAATACAGTTATGAAGTAGCAACAAAAATAATTGTATGGTTGGGGGTCACCCCAACATGAGGAAGTGTATTAAAGGGTCATGGCATTAGAAAAGTTGAGAATCACTGCTTTAGAATATTTAGGCCTTGCAACTGAGAGATATATATATATATATATATATATATATATATAATCACATGGTCAGAAGAGACACTAAGGATCATCCATTTTTTCTGCCACACAGCAATACATAATCCAAGCACTCCCATCAGACGCCCATCCATGTTCTCCAGAGACCTTCCATACTGGAATATACTGCTGTCTGGGAATGCTGTGGGGATGGCCATCTGTCGGGAGTGTTTAGATTGTGAGTGCCAGAATGGAGTTGGACAGGATGGACCCTGGGATCTCTTCCAATGCTATAATGAGTTACAGTGTTCTCAAAGGGTTATAATCATGCACTATGCCTATTATATCTTTCCATTAATGAGAGGCTTTTCAATCTGTGTGCCTTCCTCTTCCAGGAAGCAGACTCTCCAAGATGAATTAAGAGACCCTTTACCTGAGCAATGGAGACAAGGGGCTCTGTGATCTTCAGCCTGCAAGAGTCTCAACTTCACTCTGCAGAGAAGAATCCAAGTCCAACTAATGGGAGCACAGAGCAGTTTGATTCAGGTGAGTTCAGTTCTGTATATACACTAATATTATGAAACGGTGTATGGTATCCTGGTTAGATGTAATAATGTAATTCAAACTTGGCACACAGAAATCCCCATGAGCAACAGAAAATACTGGAAGGGTTGGATGGGCATTTTTTTTTGTTGTGTCAGGAGCGACCTGAGAAACTACAAGTCGCTCCTGTTGTGAGAGAATTGGCTGTCTGCAAGGACGTTGCCCAGGGGACGCCTGGATGATTTGATTTTTATCATCCTTGTGGGAGGCTTCTCTCATGTCCCCGCATGAGGAGCTGGAGCTGATAGAGGGAGCTCATCCGCCTCTCCCCAGATTCAAACCTGCGACCTGTCGGTCTTCAGTCCTGCCGGCACAGGGGTTTAACCCACTGCGCCACCGGGGGCTCCTGGTTGGCAGGATCTTCAGTTTTGGAGTTGTAGTTCACCTACATCCAGAGAGCACTGTGGACTCAAACAATGATGGATCTGGACCAAACTTGGCATGAATACTCAATATGCCCAAATGTGAACACTGGTGGAGTTTGGGGAAAATAGTCCTTGACATTTGGGATTTGTAGTTGCTGGGATTTATAGTTCACCTACAATCAAAGAGCATTCTGAACCCCACCAACAAAAGAATTGGGCCAAACTTCTCACACATATCCCCCATGACCCAACAGAAAATACTGTGTTTCCTGATGGTCTTTGGCAACCCCTCTGACACCCCTCTCGCAACCCCCTCCCCGCAGGGGACCATACCTCTAGGTTGAGAAACATGGGTATAGACACTCCCTCAGAATGGATTCTCAGCCCATCATTGGGACTTGCTCCTTCCCAAGGAAATGCAGGATAGGACATCCTATTTTCCCCCCTCGTGATGGTGATCTTAACATGAAACCTATCACAGGGTTTTCTTTTCAATGTTTGTTCAGATGTGGTTTGCCATTGTTTTCCATGAAGGCAGAGAGAGATAACTTATCCAAAGTTGGGTTTCCAAAGGAATTTGGACCCTGGTTTCTGAGAGTCCTGATCTTATACTGTCCACTGTCCTACACTGCTACACATCTGTTGTTTTCTGGATAGGCCCAGTTCTAATCCTGTTCCTGGTTTCTCGTGCCATCTGCATGGTTGCAAAATAATACCCTCACCACCGCCATTTTGCCCTTAAAGAATCTCGCCTGCAGCAATAATTTCATGGCTGTTCATAAAACTATCTGATAAAGTCCCTTAATTGGGTTTGGATGATGGCAAGTCCTTTTAATCAGCTGGTAGCCAGGATGACAGATGATTTTGCAGCCAATGGTCTCCTTGAAGTTGCTGTGACAAATATGCACTTTAAAGGCTCGGTGCTACCCATTTAATGCACAGCAAGAGTTGAGGCAGCCTCAAGAGACTTTGGGGATCAAAAGGTAAACAGCAAAAATGGTTGGCTGGCTTTCCCCCCCTTTCTGGTATCAAAAAGGGCTTTCTTTAAAACCTTCTCCAGAGATAACCTAAACACCTCATTCTTTGCTGAGCCACCTGTGTGCCCGAAGACATGGTGTGCATACAACTGTCTCATTTTTGGAGTTAATAAGTTGGTGAAACCACACCAATAAATGTATTCAGGGAAGCTGTTTAAATGCAGCTTAGCACAGCAATCCAAATTGGTTTTTAGATGAGCATTGCTGGTTTTGCTACATCTCACTCCAGGCTAGAGTTTAAACCTATGCTGTTGATTTTCCATTTTTTGAAGAAGATGAAAGCTCCAATTCTGAGGATGTTGATTTCAACTGGGATGAATACTTGGAAGAATCAGAATCTATTGCTGCCCCTCATTCTTCATTTAAGCACGTAAGTGGTTTGCCTAGTGTTTCCAGTCCTCCTGGCCAAACTGAAAAGGTTTGGGGTCAGTCTGTCTATGCAAAAGTAATTTCTCTTGTATTCAAGTAAGACTTACTTCAAGGTTATTTATTTATCATATTAGGGACAAACCAAACAATTGTATTTTATTTAAAAAAAACATACACAAAGTTTGCAAACTTGGCATTCTATTAAATGTCCTTTGACCAGTAGCTGGCCACTTGGAGTGCCTCTCTGGTGTTGCTATAAGAAGGTCCTCCATTGTGCATGTGGCAGGGCTCAGGTTGCATTGCAGTAGGTGGTCTGTGGTTTGCTCTTCTCCACACTCACATGTTGTGGATTCCACTTTGTAGCCCCATTTCTTAAGGTTGGCTCTGCATCTTGTGGTGCCAGAGCGCCCAGTTTTCTGAGTCGCCCAGTCTTCTGTGTGCCCAGGGGGGAGTCTCTCATTTGGTATCAGCCACTGATTGAGGTTCTGGGTTTGCCTGCCACTTTTGGACTCTCGCTTGCTGAGGTGTTCCAGCAAGTGTCTCTAGATCTTAAAAACTATTTCATGATTTAAGTCATTGGCATGCTTCCTAATATCCAAACAGGGGATTGGCCGGAGATGTCATTTCCTTGGTCCTTTCATTATTGGCTGCTACTTCCCAACAGATATCAGGTGGTGCAATGCCGGCTAAACACTATAATTTCTCCAGTGGTGTAAAGCACAGGCACCCCATGATAATGCGGCATGTCTCATTAAGAGCTACACCCACTGTTTTAGTGTGGTGAGATGTGTTCCACACTGGGCATGCGTACTCAGCAGCAGAGTAGCACAGCGCAAGGGGAGATGTCTTCACTGTGTCTGGTTGTGATCCCCAGGTTGTGCCAGTCAGCTTTCATATGATAGTGTTTCTAATAGAAACTTTTTGTTTGATAGTCAAGCAGTGCTTCTTGTTATTCAGAGCATGGTCCAGGGTAACCCAAGTATTTTGGTGTGCTACAATGCTCCAGTGGGATTCCTTCTTAGGTAATCCTCAGAGCTTGAGATGCTTGTCTTTTCTTAAGTTGAAAAGCACATGTCTGCATTTTAGATGGATAGAAATCAGCTGGTTTTCCCTGTAATAGGCAGTAAGAGCACCTAAAGATTCTGAGAGCTTCTGTTCAACCATGTCAAAGCTCCCTGCTTAAGTGGTGATGGCACAATCATCAGCATAGATGAAACTTTCTGTCCCTTCTGGCAGAGGCTGCTCATTTGTGTAAATGTTAAACATTGATGGGCTATGCTTAGGAGGATGAAAATAGAGAGGCTGTCCTCTCATGGGCTGTACTGCATAAACCAATGCTTATTCATTATAGTAAGCTCCCACTATCCTACAACACTGGGAGATGGTACCGAGGATATAACCCAGATCTTCTATTTGTGAGTGACAGCATTGTGCAGCAATGCACTAAATCAGTGGGGCCACAAATACCAAACACACAACATTGGCCGATAGTATGCCAAGTGATGGGAACAAATATGATATCAATCCTTGTTTCATTTGGGAAAAATTATTACTAGCACCAGATTCCTTATGAAGCATTGATGTTATGCTGCTGTGTCTCAACCGCCGTGTTGTCATTGAAACCATCTGAACTAGAAGATTGTCAGTTGGAAACCACTTTTCTTCTCAGCTCTTGGGGGAAGGTGGGATGTAATTGAAGCAAATAATTACAAACCTCAATTTTCACAAGGTTGAAATCAGCCTCCAGAGCAGCTTCCAGCCAGGCATGAAGCTCGAAGTGGCCAACAAGCATGACTCAGACACGTATTGGGTGGCCACGATCATTACGACGTGTGGGCAGCTCTTGCTCCTACGGTATTCTGGCTACGAAGATGACCGCCGAGCCGATTTCTGGTGTGACGTCATGACTGCGGATCTCCACCCTGTAGGCTGGTGCACCCAGAATAACAAAGTGTTGATGCCTCCCAATGGTAAGTTTCTAAAAATATTGGGAAAAAAGTGTTCTGAACCTGTGTTCTGTCTAGCAAATTGATGGGCAAATTTTATTTCTAGCAGGTTGATTGGGAAGTTGTGCAATCTGTGAGCTTCCAGATGTTGTTGGATTGTTACTCTCATCTAGTCATTGGGTGCCAAATTGGTTGGGATAGATCCATTCTGGCTTACGGTCTGACCTCTATAGAAACTTTCAAATGGAGCTTGCCAAGGAGTAGCAACAGGGACTTGAATGTAATCCAGGGCAATGAACTGCAGCAATCTGGCATCAGAAAAGAGAAGAGAAGTTACTGAATGCCGTAACAGAGATGAATGATTGATTTGCATCCAGAAGCTTCATGGAGATGGGGGACAATGTTTAGCATGAGCAGAGAGTTTGCTGGCAGAAAGAGACAATAAGGCACTTCTAAAATACTCACTACCTCTGAGGATGCTTGCCATAGATGCAGGCGAAACGTTAGGAGAGAATGCTTCTAGATCATGGCCATATAGCCCGAAAAAACCTACAACAACCCAGTGATTCCAGCCATGAAAGCCTTCGACAATACGCTTCTAAAATACCTCTATACATTATGCTGTGTGTGGAGCAATGTGTGCCTGAAATACAAATGGAGCGATTAACCCACTCTGGGTACTAATCCAAACTTTAAAGGACCTGTACAAAGTGTTGAACATGGTCACCAAATGAGTTATATCTCAGCACATTGGTTGCTCCCAGACTTTGGAAATCCCTCCCTAGAAGAGCCTGGCTGACCCGCTCTTCGCTCTCTTTGTGGCATTTTAATGCAGTGCTGTCTTAAAGGGCTTCTATATAGTTAGAAAAATATTTCATAGAATCATAGAATCAAAGAGTTGGAAGAGACCTCATGGGCCATCCAGTCCAACCCCCTGCCAAGAAGCAGGAATATTGCATTCAAATCACCCCTGACAGATGGCCATCCAGCCTCTGTTTAAAAGCTTCCAAAGAAGGAGCCTCCACCACAGAGAGTTCCACTGCTGAACGGCTCTCACAGTCAGGAAGTTCTTCCTCGTGTTCAGATGGAATCTCCTTTCTTGTAGTTTGAAGCCATTGTTTTAATCTATCTATCTATCTATCTATCTATCTATCTATCTATCTATCTATCTAATTTTGTTTTTAGCTATAGATAGATAGATAGATAGATAGCACCCCACCTCAAGCCTTGAGGAGAGGCGAATAATAATAATAATAATAATAATAATAATAATAATAATAATAATTTGCAGTCCCAGGTGACAGCAGGAAACAACTGAAAAAGCTGACACAATATGAGGATTTAAAGATCGAACTGCAAAGACTCTAGCACAAGCCAGTCAAGGTGGTCTCAGTGGTGATCGGCACACTGGGTGTAGTGCCTAAAGACCTTGGCCTGCACTTAAACACAATCGGCGCTGACAAAATTACCATCTGCCAGCTACAGAAGGCCACCTTACTGGGATCTGCACACATTATTCGTCGATACATCACACAGTCCTAGACACTTGGGAAGTGTCCGACGTGTGATCCAATACAACAGCCAGCAGAGTGTCTGCTGTGGAACTCATCTTGTTGTGTTTCATATAATAATAATTTTGTATTCCGTCCTATCTGAGGGCCCCCCAGTGGCGCCGTGGGTTAAACCGCTGAGCTGCTAAACTTATTGACTGAAAGATCACAGGTTTCAATAAGGGAAACGGTGTGAGCTTCTGCTGTCAGCCCCAGCTTCTGTCAACCTAGCAGTTCGGAAACATGCAAATGTGAGTAGATCAATAGGTACCACTTCTGCAGGAAGGTAATGGTGCTCCATGCAGTCATTGACCTTGGAGGTGTCTATGGACAAGCTGGCTCTTCGGCTTAGAAATGGAGATGAGCACCAACCCCCAGAGTCAGACATGACTTAATGTCAGGGGAATACCTTTACCTTTACCTATCTCCCCAAGAGGACTCAGGGCAGATTCCAGCATATATAGAGACAAGGCAAACATCCAATGCCTCAAAACAATGAAACACAGACACAGAGATAAAGGCTTCTCCTTCATCTCCAGCTCTTGGGGTGTTGCTTATCTCAATTTCTAAGCTGAAGAGCCTGCATTGTCCATAGGCACCTCCTGGGTCATGTGGCCAGCATGACTGCATGAAGCGCTGTTTACCTTCCCACCGGGGCAGTACCTATTGATCTACTCACATTGCATGTTTTGAGCTGCTAGGTTGACAGGAGCTATGACTAACTGTAGGAGCTCACCCTGTTCTGCGGGTTTGAACCTCCAACCTTTCGGTCATCAAGTTCAGCAGCTCAACAGTTTAACCATTGCACCACCGTGGCCCCTATTATAACAACAACAATAATAAGCCATATATAGAACAGAATAGCCCCAGTTCAACCGTGCAGGGATGCAGCCGGACTCTCTCCCAGCCATTCCTAGTCCCACGGCCTAAATCTGGGCCAATCCATCCCATTTAAAATGCTATATGTAAAGTTAACAAAATGCAATAAATCACCTGCACTATGGAACAGTGAGCACACATTGCAGATTTCATTTAAAAAGGTAGAATGACTACAGGGAACAGGGTTTGGTTTTTCCTCCCTGCTGGCAGATCGATGTGGTTTGATTTAGTTTTTAGCTTTCAAGAGGCAGCTGCCAAATAACTCTATTACAAAGCCTCCATAAAATATAGCTGTTTAACTGGCTGACTCCTGGTGTTGAGTGAGCAGTGATGGAAGCCACAGGGCTGGTTTACTGCATTCTCATGTGGCACAATCTGGAGATTGCAAGGGGATTCAATGCCTAAATGCATTAAAAACATATTTGGAAGCTAAGCAGGACCAGACCCAGTTAGACCATGGATGGGAGACTTCTGATGAACTCCTGGTGCTGGAGTCTGTATTTCAGAGCAGTGGTTTCCACACTTTGAGACTCCAGGTGTTTTGGTCTTTAGTAGGCTTGAGCCCAGATCCACTTTTAGCCATTTCCTTTGGTTTCTTAGGAAGGCCATAACGGCAAGGGCCCAGCCATCACAGTTTCCCGTCCATAACAGGACCATGCAGCAGGCAATCATGTCTCCTTCTCCCCTATTCAGCATCACAGTTGAATCTTTTTAACTTTACTTTATGTTTCTTTATTTTCTTTTTATTTAGTGCGACTGACTGGGTGTTGGGGATGTGCGGAATGGGTGAATGGCGTGCGTGCGCGTGTTAGAGGGCTTGGAAAATTTGGGCTTCTTTTTCTCCTTCCCTTCCTCACCTTCAGAAAATATTTCTAAAAGATAATAATTAAATAATAATAATAATAATAATAATAATAGAACTACTACCACCTAGTTGCCTCTCCTTTAGAGTAGAAAGTAGAAACAGCTTTAAGGAAGCATTAAATCCAAAGCAGAAAGGAGATTGAAGCATGCCCCTCCAGGCAAGGCCTGAAGTAGAGAAAAAAAGAGGGCTTTTTAAAGGAAGCCCAGGATAGATAGTTCCAAGTAATCACTCTTCCTTACCTGGGCCTTCTTAAAATAGCTCGGAAAGCTATGTGAGTGCTGCAGGGAGAGACAGCAAGTGTGCCTGCCTGCAACACCTGTCTCCTCTAGAGTAGAAACAGCTTTAATGAAGCATTAAACCCAAAGCAGAAAGGAAATTGAAGCATGCCACTCCAAGCAAGGCCTGCAGTAGAGAAAAAAGAGGGCTTTTTTAAGGAAGCCCAGGATAGATAGTTCCAGGTAATCGCTCTTCCTTCCCTGGGCCTCCTTAAAATGCCCCAGACAGCTGTGTGCATGCTGCAGGGAGAGACAGTGGGTGCACATGCCTGCAACACCTGTCTCCTCTCGAGTAGAAACAGCTTTAATGAAGCATTAAACCTAGTTTCCTCTACAGACAGACAGGAAAGGATCGCAGAAAGAGTGGTATCTTAACTCTGATGCTTTCAATCCAGGTCTTAATGAAGGATATAAGGACAAATGATGCCCAAAATAACAGGAAGGGGAGCCTGGGAAGTCCCCCAATAATGGGCCAGATAGGGTGCTTTGTTAACCCCGTCACTGAAAGTCAGGCTTCCTTGAAGGAAAAAAAGAAAGGGTGCCAGGAAGGGTTCTTCTTTATCCCCGTTACTGAAACCCAGCCCCTTGAAGGGAAAAAAGGAAATGATCCTAGGATCAAAAGGAGAGCCTTGTAAATTTCCCATTGTCGCCAATGGGCCAGATTTAGCTGCATTTATTGGCCAAGGACTACAAAAATGGTTTCCGGCAACCTGCCCATTTTCAGAAGGTGTGCAAAAACAGATACAGGGGTCTACCGGAATCTGGCCAGCAAAAACAGATTAAGGTTCAGCCAAAATACACAAGCCTAGTCTTAGCTGATATCCAATATATGCAGACAAATTAAATGGAAATTCACTTTAAACACTTTAAAACAATTTGAACTATTCTATAACTTCCATAAGACTAAATGCATATTAAACAAAGGAAAAGAAGACTGTTTAAAACTGATTTTAAATCATTTGAGACAACTGCTTCTAATAAAGAATGGTTTCCAGACCACTGAGCATTTTGGTTTCAGCTTATCCATCCCCTTCTTAAATGGTGTCCAGAAATGGACACAGGATCCCAGGTGACGTCTGACCAAAGCAGAATCCTAAGACATGATTCCTTTCTCTGTGATGGTTCTTTGATCCTGGCTTCTGGTTTGTTTTATGGTTTTGTCTGGTTTCTTGCTCACTTCAGCCTGTTGCTCCCAGTCCAGCTCTTGACGAATCTTATGGGAACGGCACCCCCAATTTGAATGGGATGCAAACAGGTGGGGAAAGTGTGCAGGTTACTTTTGTGCATCACAGTTTTCTTGAGCTTTGTCTGTGCTTCTGGTGGGCAATTCAACGTTTTGCTCTTAGCAGCTGCTTGAACATGCTGACTGCCAGAATACAGTTCATGCCTGGCTGAATTTTCAATTCCTAGCAATTTGCTTAACATGGAAAGAAAAATGCTCTTGTCCCTTTGCTT